TGAGGTTTTGTAGTCATCTGAAATACAGAACGGCGTAGGATAAGACTATCAATGCACTACTTTTGAATCAGCCAGTGTGTAATCCGACTAAAATATTTTTGAAATTTTTGAGAGCTTCCACATTTGATTAATATGCAAAAGCACATCCTGAAGAGCAGCTCCTGAAAAGCAAAGCCAGCATCCGGTATTCCAAGTAGAAGCTAGTACTGAGTTTTGGAGGATGTTTGTTAAGGAAAACTTTCTTTAACAAAAAAATAGAAAAGAAATTGTAAATGCTTTCTATATATATGCCTTTATATAACTTTGGGCATCCTCAGAGTGGGTGATCTGTCAGAGCTTTTCATTGATATGTTTATCTTTTAAGGCAAATATACTGCATTCCTGAATGGAGAACTGACTTTGGGTGGTAGGAATATAAAAACATTTTTAGTAAACATCTTACTCGTAATTTAATTGCTTCTTGTCCTCTTCCTACCATTTGATCCTTTGTTCTGGATGCAGTGTAAAAGCCCTGGTGATTTTATTTTTTTATTTTTTTTTATACTGGCTTAAAAATTAAGTGTTCCTTCCACTTCTCCAAATCTGCAGCAGCCACTTTAGCTTTGCAGGAGGTTCATAGATATTTTTTGGCTCACCCTAGCAGCAGGCTGTGGCCAGAGATTGTTCCTTAAAGCAAAGGAGAACATAAACCTGCAAAGGAACTTTAAGATATTTGGAGACCAATTTGACTCCAGCAGATATGATGTAGTTTCATCAGTTATAAAAGAGGTTATAAATTTTAATAACAATGAGTTAACTTTTTTGGCTCATTTTAGAAGGTTGGTCTAGCGTACCATTGTTGTGATCGTTAGAATCTAGATTTCAATTTTCAAGTTTTAATGTTGCTTGTAACTAATTTCCGTTTGTTCCTCTGCATTTAAATAGAATAGTTCTCTTGCTGCTAAAGCTCTTTTTCTACAGGCACACAAAATACTCCTTTTTCCGTAGTGCCCACGTGAAGAAGCTGAGCTCTAGGATTTCCATTGTCATGAGGAGTGGAAACATTTCTCTGTAATTTTAAATTCCACTTAAAATTTATTCACCTTGAAACATGGGAAGCAAAAGTTTCGTGTAGTGCTTTGGAAGAGTTTGTTTATATCATTGTCTGTTTGTCCAGCACGTGTGTGCTTTCTCTCCCAGATATACTTCTGGTATAATTTAGAATTCTGGTTTTCTTTCTGTTGTTGCACTGTACGCGATGCAGTGAAGACGCAGTGATTTTTCTCCCTGTTTTTCCAACTTACTGCCCCAGTCCCTTAGTGAAGGAGGGGAGAGAACACCCTCTGTCTCAGGCTGGTAGAACTTTAATTCACTGGCTTTTTTAAACAGCACTGATGACTTTTGTCGGAAGGGGTGATAGAAATTATTCTGTGTAGATTGAGTTCTGTTATTTTTTCTGGCAGTAAGTGTGTTTAGTGAGTTATTTCTGATAATCTTACTGTCTTCACGGCCTATTGCCTTATGTCCCATGGGCTTTTTGTTGCTCCAGTCGGTATCACTTTTGCTGCTCCCAAATCTGTCCTCAATGGATAATTTCCTAATGTTCATTTCATCAATAGGCTCTCATTTTTTTCTAAGGCCTGGATTGAGGAACTCCACTGATAATGTCCTTTTAGCTTGAGGTGTCTTTCCAAAACCACTGTTATCTATCCCTTAGCAAGTCTCCCTACTCTGTATTTCTCCTGCTGGTTGCGGTCTGTTCCCTGTGAGCTGAGTTTGCAGTGCTGTATCATGGCTGGGAAGTCTAGCTAGGTTGACTGAATTCTATTTTCTTGGTATAAAAAAGCAGTTATTTTAACAAAGAAAGTCTGCTAAGTTTGTCTGGTGCTCTCTCCTCTTGATTAATTTTCGTTTTACGTGATTTTTTTTTTCTATTCCCTTGTGTTTTTCACTTGTCTTAAAAACTAGGTTTTAAGTCTCTCATACTATCTATTTATAACAGGGCAGAAAGGCTTATTCTCGAGCTCGCTCTCTCTGTAGGTGGCACTACTCTGTTTTCATACAAATTATTTGTATGGATCTGAGACATGCTCCTTTGTGTTTCACAGCTCTGTTCTCCCTGCTTTGGGAGAGAACAATAAGCTCCTTTCAAATCTGAGAGGGATACAGTAATATCTTTTTTTTTTTTCATTCTCTTCTTTCATCAACATTCATCCCTTTGTGATGTACCGATGTCCATCTCTTCCCTTGCTAGTGAAAATATGGGCTTAATTCTTGGGGAATTAAGTCTGTAAGTAATGTTAATTTAGTCCTCGTTGTATGGCATCCCTGCTTCTTCCCTGGTTGTGGCCAAAAGTCCATCCTCCATGTCTTTGCTTCCAGCAGAGTCTTAACGTGTTGGTTCTTGGCAGCCCTTTGATGGGACAGCTCTTAATTGAGCATTTTCTGTTCTTGGGAGTGGTCTCTCCCCTTTATATCCTTTCATTCACCAGAGGAAGGCTCCAGACAGAATATTATCTTCTTTGGGATACACTCTTCATATAGTTCTTCCATCTTTGATTTAAAAGGGGTGGAGAGGGGAAAGAGCCCTCTTCTTGCTGAAATCTTTTATCCTGCTGAAGTTACAGCTTCACTGATTTTCCCCAGCTTCCCCTTTTGCAACTTAGCATTTAGTTTCTGTTCCAGGTGACCAAGTCCTCTGTGTTAGCTTTATTATTGAAGAAATCTCATTGTAAAATGTCATTTATTAATCCCCAAATATTTTTGTTTTTAAAAAAATCTACTGGGTACTGTGACAGGCTTTGCTCTTTAATTTGTAATAGTAATTATGTCTTGGAAGCTTATTCCCAACTGACATTTTTGGCCTTACAGTATTAAGGATCTTTATTTCCAAGTAATTATACATCAGACTCGAGGGGTTGTACTAAGAGGTTTTACTGTTGTCCTTTTCAAAAGCACTTTTTAAACCAGATTCTGGCCACATTTAGAGTAAAACTATTTGCCCATTAATGACTGAATAGTAGATCACAGTTCTTTTCCTTTACATAAGAAGGGAATGTCTTCCAACTAACACTCTAATTCCAAAGAGTTTCTTGAAAATGGTCCATCCAAACCGTTTCTTGCTGGGAAGGATGAAAAAAAACCCCATCTTCTTAATAGTCGGATTTTTATTTTCTTTCTATTTCTTATTTTTCACCTCACCGTGGTTAAGAAATGGTTCTTCCCACAACATGCCTTGTTTTCCTTGTAAAACAAAGTCTTCAGATCTTGGGCTCTAGGAGAACCCTGAAATTCTATTTGTGAAGGACTTGAATGTTAGGAAGCTTGATGCTTTGGTGTTCCCTTTGCTGGAGGAAGGGGAAGGGCACAGAAATCTCTGGAGGTGCTGCTTTTCTAGGTTTTTACTGTCCGTCCGCAGAGCTTATTCTTGGGCTGAAGTTCTCTCCCCTCTCCACCCGTCTCCCCAAACTCTCCCCCTTTATTACTGCGAGCTTTCTAGGGATGAAAAGCAGCCCAAAGTTGTAGCTTTGCCTTGATTGTTGGATCTTTCCCAGTGTGAGTGAGACTCTGGGTTCCCAGCCCTGGCGAGGGCAGCGTCGCTCCCTTCGAGCTCTGGGGTTCATTTTCCATCTCTTTCTATCGGACGCTTCTGTTCATTTTTTTTCTGGAATAACATAAAACTTGCATTGCCCATCTCTTTCTATTGGACACCTTTGTTCGTTTTTTCTGGAATAACATAAAACTTGCATTGGTTTAAGTTCCTCTTTTGCCAAGCCAGAAACTCGTTTGACTTCTGTGGAAGGTACTTGTAGTAAGAAAGACCTTTATCAAATACCCAAAGGTGTTGGTAATAATTTGGTGCAGCAGGCTCTGCCGTGGGGGGGTGAGCAGGGGAGCGGGTGCGGATGTGTTTTACCACCCTGGGCCAAAAATGGAGCCTTTTTGCCTTTTTCTCAGCCTTTAAGCTAGTGAGAACGGTACCTACCTTAGGTTTTTCCAGCCTTGGTTCATTATTTCACTTTTTCAAATGATGCTGAGGGCCTCTGGAAGGTGCGTAGGGTCGGTGTCTGCAGGCCACAGTCAGGGAAAGAATTCTGGTTTGGTGTCTCTGTAAAGAAAAATACAAAACTGCTTTTGCTGGGGAGAATAGAAAGGGGCTTTCTGAAGAGGTGCTGAAGACGTGAAAATTCAGAGTGGTGATTGGTCACCTCTGCTTGATTGACAGGTTGCAGGGAAAAACAAAAACCCATTTGTTCTGGCTTAATGGAACTGGAAAACAGAAAATGAGTATCAGGTAAAAATTCCTTTTTTAAAATCTTTGCAGTTCTCCTTTAAAAAAAGTGGAGTTTTGACACAAATCTACACCTTTTTCCCCCCTCCCACACCCCCCCCCTCCAGTAAATGAGGAGTAGGCATCAGGGAAGGAGGCAGTTGTGAAGTGGTGTAATGTGGGTTGTCGACTTCGGCGTGTTTTTTATCAAGGGGGGGCCAGTGTCCTGGACCCCAACAGCGGCCACCGCTCCCGGGGTGGCTTAGGCACAAGGCAAAGGATGGAAAGGGTGGAGCGACCGAGCCCTGAACTGGAACTCGTTAGGCTCATTAGCAGGACGATCAAGGGGAAGCTTTTATTTATTTTTTTATTTTTTTTATTTCTTTTTCACTTCCTAGACTGTGCCTGCTTTGGTGGATAAATCATAAATCTGTCCGTTTCTACTACTTAGCAATTTGGCATCTCTCACGAGCGCTATTGCAAAATTCACTGAGAAGTGAATTAGCTTAAAAAATAACCTTTAGGTTTTAAAGTAACTTCCATCTAGCAGTCGAGAAGTGAATTAGCTTAAAAAGTCAACTTAGGTTTTAAAGTAACTTCCATCTAGCAGTAGAGCTAGATGCTAGAAGATGCATCTTACAGATTCTGTAAATGTCAACATCAGCACCACAGTTTTGAGAATCGTATTTGAAAGTTATTTATTTATTTATTTCTGGTAACTTTAATTATTTTGTCTGTTGATGTATTTCAGATTGAAGGCCAAGGACACGGGGCAGTTTTTGACTGCAAGTGCTCTCCTGACGGGCAGCATTTTGCATGTACTGATTCTCACGGTCACCTTCTGATTTTTGGCTTTGGTTCCAGTAGCAAATACGACAAGGTACGGTGCAAGATGAAAATTCAAAATGTTTTGTCTGTGTTGAATATGTTCGTGCAAGCCAATTTTGAGCCATTAATATGGGATGTTTCAGATTCCTGTTGTTGACGCTGAGCTCGCTTTCACTGTCTTTTTTTAAACTATGGGAACATGTTATTAAGCTGTTTACGTGGGAAGTTAAAAATAATTTAAGAAAAAAAAAAAGGAAAAACATGTTAAAAATTACCCAGTCACTGTCTGCTCTCTAAAGTGACAAGGTTGCAGGTGTCTGCTAATGGATCCACGGGAATAATGTGGATAAATTGGAGTGGAATTGATAATAGTTAATCATTTTGCTTTAAATACTTTTCTGGTTCCTAACTAAGACCCCAAAAAAAGAGGTGGGAGGTTTAATACAACCAATTCCTGCTATCTGTGTTTAAACATTGCGTAGTCTGGGAGATGATTATTTACAATAAATGCACTATATGTTCTATTGATGCTATTCCACGTCTGGTAATGAAGTTCCCTTGCCTTGGTGCTTACACAGCAATGTTCCACTGTTACTGTCTGATTTAAAATATTACATCTCAAAAAAAGAGGTGGGAGGTTTAATACAACTAATTCCTGCTATCTGTGTTTGAGCATTGCGTAGTCTGGGAGACAATTATTTACAATAAATGCACTATATGTTCTATTGATGCTATTCCACGTCTGGTAATGAAGTTCCCTTGCCTTGGTGCTTACACAGCAATGTTCCACTGTTACTGTCTGATTTAAAATATTACATCTCTTCTAATCTCACAGTCTACATTGCGTATTCTAAGTGTGGATGTCTTGCCACAGACCCTCATGACTTTAAAGATTTGTGTTGGTGTTTTTTTCCCCTCTGTGGATGACCATGCTCTGTGCACCACACAGCTCACCCAGTTTGGGGTGCTCACAAGGTCCCAGTTCTTCTTTTACCACCCAGGGAGGAGGGGAGGTGTCCCTTCTCCCTCTTTCTAAGATCCAAGCAGACATAGATGCTCCACGATTTTCATCCCTGCTCCTGGTAGCTGATAGGTGAAGGCTGTTGAAGCGTCGGCTTCTGGATCTCACCTCCTGCTTTGGATTTTTGGACTCAGGCTGGCCTTGAAAGCATTTTGGCAAACAAAGATTTGTGGTGTTATTTTTTTTTCCCCTCTGTGGATGACCATGCCCTGTGCACCACTCAGCTCACCCAGTTTGGAGTGCTCACAAGGTCCCAGTTCTTCTCTTACCACCCAGGGAGGAGGGGAGGTGTCCCTTAAAGATTTGTGTTGGTGTTTTTTTCCCCTCTGTGGATGACCATGCTCTGTGCACCACACAGCTCACCCAGTTTGGGGTGCTCACAAGGTCCCAGTTCTTCTTTTACCACCCAGGGAGGAGGGGAGGTGTCCCTTCTCCCTCTTTCTAAGATCCAAGCAGACATAGATGCTCCACGATTTTCATCCCTGCTCCTGGTAGCTGATAGGTGAAGGTTGTTGAAGTGTTGGCTTCTGGATCTCGCCTCCTGCTTTGGATTTTTGGACTCAGGCTGGCCTTGAAAGCATTTTGGCAAAGAGCAACTCAGAGGGGCCAGAAGGAGGGGAGAGCAAAAGGAATTTTAATCTTTGCCTTCTAAGCCACTGCATTTCTTCTGTAGTCTTCCAGCTCTTATTGTGATGCTCCTTACAGCAGCCTTTGCATATTAGGGATTGTTTTTCCTCTTTGTCTCTCAGCTGTGATTTGAAGCACTGGGTACTTGGCTGCTGCTGTTGTCCCTCAGCTTTTACTAGCTGTGCCTTTCCCCTTCCAGTCCAAAGCAAACAAATGAGCGGAGACACCACAAGGAAGGAAAACCAGGATTATCAGATCGTTTGCAAGGTTCTTGTCTTTCACAGTTCTCACTCTTCTGAACTTTAAAGCCTGTTGTAACAAGCATTTTTTCTTACCCTGTCCATGGTTTGTTCCAGGTTTATTTTCCTCTCCAGTCATTTTGGAAGTGTGTAGTTCTCCACTTTTCAGAAATGTTGGAGGTTATATTGAAACCAAGAGCATTTTTTTCTTTGCCATGATAGACCAGGAGTTTGCTTTACATTGCCATTTGAGAATTTACCTTCTGAGGAATTAGATCTGCCTGAAGAATGAAAACAGTCCTTTTTCACTTGAATTCCACAGACCCTTTGTTGTCATGGGGTTTTTGCTGCAGTCTCTCAGAAAATACTATGTTTAAAACTTTTCACTTGTTGTATGATTTAAAATGGTCCTCTCCAGCTGTTACTGTGCCAATGGTCATCTTGGCCTTCTTGACCATAGAAGAAATGGGTGCAGATAGGACTTAGATTTGTTACCTCTTCAATCTCAGTCTTCAGGTCTCAGAAAACTCAGCTTGGAAGTTTCTGAGCTCTTTCTTGTCCCGTTCCATCTCCTCTTTATTTTTGTCTGACCTGATTTATGGAAAAATGTAACTACAAATAGGTAGATGCTGGAGATTTGGTGGTGTTTGTTCTGTCCTGCCCTTCCCCAGCCCCCCCAGATACTTGAGGCTTTTTCAGACATTTTGGGAGAACATACTGATTTTTACAGAAGAGAGGAGTTTGGTAACCTGTCCTGTGTTCCTGCATCTATGAGTTGTGCTTGGGATGGTGGTTACAGCGGAGATAGCGATGGCTCTGCTGTGTATGTGTGTTTTCTCCTGCTACATTCAGGTGGTGTCTGGCTTCCTAGTTGACTGGAACCGGTGGTCAGGCTTTTCCTTCTCCAGTGTGAAGGTGATGGGGAAAAACTGAACATTCTGAATGTGTAGTTAGTGAAGGAGAGTCTTCTTATATTGCTCAGACCTTGTGGAAAGCTTTTGCTCTCAAACCCAAGCTGGGTTTGTGAAGCCATATGTCCTAATGATGGTGTGGTATCTTCTTTTTGTCATGAATTTGATCTCTGATAGTAAATCAAAAAGTAGATCTGATGGTTAATGCTTTGAACTGGTTGCCTGCTGAACATAGCTAGTGAAGATTCACTAAAACATCTAATTTGTCTGATTTTTGTCAGGACTTGGAGTAGCTGAGGATAAGATTGTTGCCCTGGGTTCCAGTAGGGACATTCCAATGTCCTACCTGTGAGTTGGTCTGAGCCTTTCTCCATTATTCCCTTTCTTATCTCCTGGAGTAGAAAATTGTTTATTCTACCATACTTGATTGCAGTACAGAGTACACAGAAGGGTAATTGCAAAGAAGTCCTTCATGATCTTGGCCCAGTAGCTACTTAATAGGAAAACTTAGGCCAGGTCAAAGTCCTGGATGCTCTGCTCTTGTGATTCTAGGGGAAATCTTAGGTTCTTCTAGAGCACCTGTATCTTCATCACATTGAGCTGTTTGAGCTGAAGGAATACAGTCGTTAAGGTGGCCTTGATTCTGTCAGTCAGACACATCAACGTACTTGTGTCTTTCTCATTCAGCCTCTCTCAAGTTACAGAGAATCCAGCAGCAGGATTTCATCCAGTTGGGGCTTGTCACCTTGTCCATATGCACTCTCTGAGGGTAACCTTTTTAATCCCTGAAGTAAACTCTTTGCCATTGCATCTTTCCAGGAATCTTTTCAATTTTCTTCCCTTGGTTACTTTTCTGAATGCTTGTGGGGTCCAGATCCCATGATTCCTATTATATTTTTTTTTAATTCTTTCTTTTTTATCCACCTCACGTGGGTACATGTAGCCACTTTCTGACATTGTAATTGTTTGTTGTCATCTTTTCTTTCCTGGTCTTCTCAGGTCCAGGGCAGAACAACTTAGTCACTGGGAGAGCAGATCTCTGAGTAGACACTACAGTCTCTGCCTTGCTGGCTTCTCCATGAGAAGTTACTGGGAACTGTGTTATGGATTGGTCATGGTAGAGCATGCTCTGCAGAAACCAGGGATTATTCCACCACAACTCAGGCGTTCCTCTGGCCCTGCTCACAGACCTAACACCTTCCATGAGAATTTTTTGGAGATCTCTATGCTTTGAGTCAATTCCTTAATTATTTTTATGCCGCACTGGAAATCTAATTCATGTGAATGATGATTTTATGATTTTATTTTCACTTGTTTGAAGTTAAACTGGGGTTTGCTTGCCAGTAGGTAGCACTGGGGTGCGTAGTTCACGCCTCAGCTTGGCTTCTGTCCTTGGGGTTCAGTGTCTTTCTGATCACACAAGATGAAGATGCACGTGCCAGCAAGGGACGGAGCGTAAGCCTTTTTAGATACTGTTTGGACAAAAGAATTCCTCAGTCTTGAGTGTCTGTGGAAAGCCATCTAGAATAAATTATGAGCAGGTGGACTGAAATAAAAAAAGAAAGCTGTGAGCCTGAAGAATTCAACTTGACATTAGCTTTATTTTATCTACTGGAACTTTTTCATCTATCTGGCATTATAACAATAATACATATGTTTGGCTGCTGGTGTTAAAATATTTGGTAATGACGTGATGGGATAAATAGTTCCCTATCCCTCTTCTTCCTACACCACGGCTCATAAATCTGTGACACAGTTTTCATTATCAGAATATATATTCATATATTCAGAGTATGGAAGAAAATTTGTCTTGCAGTAGTTAAATCCTGCCCCGTTCCCCTGTTCTTTAAATGCTCCCCACCCTCAAACGTGCGGGTTGTTCTCCTAATCTAGCAAAGGAATACTGGGGGGGGAAATAATCATGGAGTCATTAAATTTTCCCCTCTAAGTGAAGAAAAACAGATCTGCTTGTAACCTTGTTTTTGCACAAGTGACCACTGTTCAAAATGCTTTTGGCCGTTATCTTCTGTGTGCTTCTTTTTAATAGGTTCTTTAAAAAAAAAAAATTACAAAATGACTTTGTTTACAGATAGCAGATCAGATGTTCTTTCATAGTGATTATCGGCCCCTTATCCGTGACGCCAACAACTTCGTCCTGGACGAACAGACCCAGCAGGCTCCCCACCTTATGCCTCCCCCCTTTTTGGTTGACGTGGATGGCAACCCTCATCCTGCCAGGTATCAGAGGCTGGTTCCTGGTCGTGAGAACTGCAGGGAGGAGCAGCTCATTCCTCAGATGGGAGTCACATCTTCAGGTATGGCACATTTCAGTCTAGTTACCTCTGGGTGTTCTACGCTTTCCCTTTCACTTCATCTTTTATTTCTTCATTTCTGGGCATAGCAGTTCACGTAGCGTGGAGCTGCAGGGTCCTTGGCACTGATTGCCTGGGACAATTTTATGGTCTCCTCATGGATCAAATCAGCACTAGTTGATGCTACGACCAACAACAGTGAGGCTGGAGCTCATTTCAGTGTTGACTCTGAGTGAGCTTTCACTCGTTCTCCTCGGGGTGAGATTTCCTGTTCCAGTAAACGTAGGAAATAGACTGGTGTTTCACAGCTCAGTTGGAACAGGAAACACTGACAAGAAGAGAAGAATGAGTGGACACCTGAAACGTGCAAAATCTTCTTCCTCTTTATGTGAAGGCAGTCATTCAACTTTGATGGTTTGGTTAGAGAACTCTGAAGACTTGATGAGGGCAGAAGATGTCAGAAGTGCCTCAAAAGTTGTATTTTCTGTGCACACATGAGAGGAATATGCTTATCATATTCCAAAGATCATCCAGTTTCAACCCCCTGCCCTGGGCAGGGACACCTCCCACCAGACCAGGTTCCTCCAAGCCCCATCCAGCCTGGCCTTGAACCCCTCCAGGGATGGGGCAGCCACAGCTTCTCTGGGCAACCTGGGCCAGGCTCTCACCACCCTCACACCAAACAAGTTCTTCCTGAGATCTCATCTCAATCTCCCCTCTTTCAGTTTAAAACCATTACCCCTTGGCCTATGGCTCCCCTACCTGATAAAAAGTCCCTCCCCATCTCTCCTGGAGCCCCTTTAGGGACTGGAAGGGACTCTAAGGTCTCCCTGGAGACTTTTCTTCTCCAGGCTGAACAACCCCAACTCTCTCAGCCTGTCCTCACAGCGGAGGGCTCCAACCCTCTGATCATCTTCATGGCCTCCTCTGGACCTGCTCCAACAGGTCCATGTCCTTCCTGTGCTGAGGACTCCAGAGCTGGACACAGAGCTCCAGGCTGGGTCTCCCCAGAGCAGAAGGGTGGAATCCCCCCCTGGCCCTGCTGGCCACACTGCTGGGGATGCAGCCCAGGATGTGGGGGGCTTTCTGGGCTGCCAGCACACGTTGCCAGCTCATGTTGAGCTTCTCATCCACCAACACCCCCAAGTCCTTCTCCTCAGGGCTGCTCTCCAGCCATTCTCTGCCCAACCTGTATTTGTGGTCAGAATTAAACACTACGTTTGGACATTTAGACGTGTGTTCTCAGTTTCAAAGCTAGAACTTAGATGAGCCATTTGAAACATTTGCTTCTCGAAATAAAGGTTTCTGTGGTGTTCTCTTGTGTGTTTTACTTCGCAGGCTTGAATCAAGTTCTCAGTCAACAAGCCAATCAGGAGGTGAGTCCGTTGGACAGCATGATCCAGAGGCTGCAGCAGGAGCAGGACCAGAGACGCTCCGGGGAGGCGGGGACCAGTAGCACCAGCCGGATAAGCCGAGGTGGGTGACTGGGGGGTGGATGTTGTGGATGTGTTTCTCTATTGAAACAGCTGGAAAACTTAAATCACATTATTGTGCATGGTTTGGACATTTTGTGGGACTGTTAGAAAGGAGCTGTAGAAAATAACAACATTTTTCCCGTCTTTCTGTACCTTTCTGTAAAATCTCCGGATTCTTCACGTTACAAATTTATCTTTGTTAAAATGACTGTCTGCTCACTTTGGGAACTTGCAGGAACTGTGTTCCCTTAGAGGGAACTGCCCCAGAGGATTCTTCACGTTACAAATCTATCTTTGTTAAAATTAGTCTGCTCACTCTGGGAACTTGCAGCAACTGTGTTCCCTTAGAGGGAACTGCCCCAGTGTTTAATCTAGAACTGGCCTCTGCTCGATGGAAATCTGAGCTGTCTCGGGTAAGGAAATAGAGGGAGGAAAGAAGGAAGGAGCCGCTCGTTCCTCAGTGCAGCTGGTTCCTCTTCCACTGCCTGGCACCAGATTTCATGGTGGTTTTCAACATTTCTCGTGGCTGGCAGCCCCCCCGAGAGGGCAAGAAGAGCTTGTGTTTGGAAAGATGTGGAAAAATGTTGAAATTTTGCTACAGTGTAGGTGTTTGAAGCATCTTGTGTGTGTGTGTCCTTTTGGTTTGGATTTTTTCTAAATTGATTGATCATTTCAGTTTCTTGTCTGTAAAATTTACAGCTCGGATTCCTAATAATTTCCAGTGTTGTGGTTTCCATTTGTTTTTCTGAAGGTAGAGGACTCTAAGGAACACAGTGATTCAGAGAGATAACTCACTGTTTGATAGCACAGATCTGGAGTGCAGTAGCAAGAGTCAGCTTCGCATAAATGTTTTAAAGGCATTTTTGAAGAGCAGCAAAACGATGACACATTTGCTTCGTCTGAGATTGAAAAGGAGCAGATGTAGCAACAATGTGAATTTTTAAACTGAGGACTGCAGCCCCGTAGCTGTTCAAGTCTGTGTGTTGTGACTAAGAAATTGCTGAAATAGTTATATTCAGTTAATATTTTATTTCTTTTGAAGTAATAGATCAAGTAAAATTCTTTTTTTCCCCTTTCATTTTGCGTTTTTCTTTGTAAATGCTTCTCTTAGAGTTTTACTTGATCTGAAATTTGTTTTTTTGACTTTTTTAGGGTCTGTAAGTTCTACCTCAGAAGTTCACTCACCCCCAAACATCGGGCTGAGGCGCAGTGGGCAGATCGAGGGCGTGCGTCAGATGCACAGCAACGCCCCGCGCAGCGAAATCGCCACCGAGCGCGACCTGGTGGCCTGGAGTCGGAGGGTGGTGGTGCCTGAGCTCTCTTCTGGTGTGGCCAGGTAAGTTCTTAGTGAGTTTTACTTTGGTGAACTTCATTAAACGGAACAGTTTCAAAATTCACATTGTCATAGGGCTGTTTGTGGGGTATTTATCTATTCTTCTATATATCTTTAACTGATTTCAAACTGAAACTGATTTGTATTGTTAGCGTATCACTTGAAAAAGCTTGAAGTTATAGAAATATTGTGAATAAAAATTGCCTATTTAACAAATGGAGCGATTTGACTTGTATATGCAATGGGATCTGGCTGCCTCAGTGTTTTCTGACTTGTAGCTTAAGATTAGGGTTCAAGGCCAGGCTGGATGGGGCTTGGAGCAACCTGGTCTGGTGGGAGGTGTCCCTGCCCAGGGCACGGGGTGGGAACTGGATCATCTCTAAGGTCCCTTCCAACCCAAACCATTCTGTGATTACAGTGTGTTTTAACTCCATTTGTTCCTGCCATTTCATGGTATTTTACAGCTGGGACACTGCCCTGATCATTAGATGCCTGAGATGAATTTTAATTTCCAAACTGGAACTTTATTTTGTTCAGTAATTAACTCCTGTGATGAATACTTATGGCAATAAGTCAAAAACCCCTGTTGGCCAAAGTCAAACCTAAACTGCTCCAGCTTTTTGAAATAAGATTGGAATTTTCCTACTTCAGAAAGGGTAACTTTGAAGCCATATTCTCACTGTAAAGAGAGAAATACTGTTGAAAGAATGTTATAAATATTGAACATTTATTCCTTGATTTGGAGTAGATCTCAGCTGTAGTATTTTGCCTGAAAGTTAACATCTCAATTTTGTTTCCCCAGTAGGCAGGAGGAATGGAGAACAGCGAAGGGAGAAGAAGAAATCAGGGTGTATCGATCGGAAGAGAAGAGGAAACACGTAACGAGTCACATTCAAAGAGAAAACAAAATACCTGCTTTCTCTAAGGTAAATAGTCCCTTCTGCCTCACTGCAGGAGGAGGTATAAAATGTACCTCGGTGTGTTGGGCCAAATAAACAGATGTCACAAGTGAGAAGCCCTGGGGATGTTAAAGAAGAAATTGTCATAACAGACTTGATGTTTTCGTATAACTTGCAAAAAAATTTAATCTTATGCCTTTATGCTGGTAAGGAAATGTGTAGGGTGTGTAGTCTGTCTTTACAACAATCATTTTATGTTTTGTTTGTTAAAAAACAGTTTCCTGGTAAGAAAATGCGTAGGGTGTGTAGTCTGTCTTTACAACAATCATTTTATGTTTTGTTTGTTAAAAAACAGTTTCCTCTGTGCTTTTCTAACTAAATAACCAGCTGTATTTTGTAATGAAGGAAGTTCTAAGCAGCTGTAAAGCAGAACCCACGCTTTGGGTTTCGTCGTGCCCTTATTCTGGGTGAGACTGTTTCATCCTCGGTCAAAAGCTTAGTGAAATACAGGCCCTGAAGAACAGCTGCAAATTGTCCTTTGAAAAGTTAAAATAGCTTACGGGGTTCAAGGTGGAAAAGTGAAGAAATGAAATAGTAAGAATTAGTATACACTTTATCAGAGCAGTTTATTTAATGCTTGTGCTGTTTGTTGTTCACTTTCTTGGGGAGTAGAAAGATAAATTTGAGATGGCCAAGTTTCTACTTGAGACTAAATTTAAGTCTTCAGTTTTTCGAAGGGACATTTCTATGCAGTAGAAAGATAAATTTGAGATGGCCACGTTTCTCCTTGAGACTAAATTTAAGTCTTCAGTTTTTGCTTCTTTTTTTCATACTCAGCTGAAGTAAAGCTTTCAAAACAAGTGAGGTGAACACTCCCCCACTCCCAAACAGTCTCCTAAGCATTTTCTTTATTGAATTTCTTAGGTTTTTTGTTCAGTTTCTCTCTTGTGTTAAAATTGTGTGCATTGCTATCTTAAGAAATGGGACCAATAGGCTGATTTCAGTGCTGCAGTCAGCAACATTAAATGTTTTTGCCCAAGATAAACAATATTTTTTCAGTGTATCCCTGTTTTTTGTACATAGTGGGAAGAAGCTCTTTGCCACTTCCAGTTTTGGAGGTGGCCATGGCAGGGCTCATTAATGAAATACCAGGAAGGAAGTCTTGGTAACTCCTATTTTTCTCTTAGGAATAATAGAAAATGGGGCCTCAAACTCAGATTTTAACAGATATTTCTTGTCTTGCTGAATTACAGACTTTATTTTAGTTTAATTAGACAGTGGCACTGTTCAAGTGGTTATTTTTTTCCCTTCAGCTACAGCCTGGTCAGAAGATCCTTCCTGATGATGTGAACTCCCACCAACTTACCCATCAATTTCTAATTGGGTTACAGTTTTCCTAAAATACCACTAGGAGATAAAAATAGCAGAGTAGGCTGCTTGGGTCCAGCATTTTGGTTACAGCAATTACTTTTATTACATTCTTGTTTCACAGAAACTGGATGCGGATGCTTTGGATAATATCTTTTCTCAGAGGAGAAATTTTTTAGTCTCCAAACTTTAAAGGCAGCGCTGGAGCCTTTTGAGCCCTGGATATTTATGCCCTTAGAATCCTTTATGTATTTATGCAGGGAAGAATGTGCCCTTCATTTATCTTTGTCCCTAGAGGGTCTGTGATCTGGATTCTGATGCCCAGAATGTGAGGGAGAGGGAACTTGGTAAATTCTTTAGTAGCTTCCCACCTTTGTCCTGGGGAAATATGGCAAAAACCAGACAGTTGTGGTATCTATAGATACAGAATCACAGAATGGTTTGGGTTGGAAGGGACCTTAAAGATCATGGAGTTCCAATTCCTCGCCCTGGGCAGGGACACCTCCCACCAGTCCCTTCCAACCCCGTGTCATTCTGTGAGTCTGGGGTGGTTCTGAGCTGTTACCTCTATCTTCTTGTTGCTTCCTGGAATGCTGTTCCTGAAGAAAACCCGAGGTGTTACTAAGCTGTGTACTCAGCAGTGACTGTTGTGTCTCTGCAGAACCATTCTCATGACCATCTCCTGGACACCAGCGACTCGAGGAAGCAGCAGGCCAACCAGCACAGCTACCGCACCAGATACGCCGTGGAGGAGACCGCGAGGCCCGCGGAGGAGCTAGAAAATGGGCACAGTTCCTCAGATGTAAGATTCTTTCTCATGAAAAAGTCATATATATTCCATTTCTGCTCGTTAAGCTCTCACTTCAGCTAATTAAACACTTGTTTCTAGTGGAAACTCAGGTTACATTTTTCCCTTGTGCGTTTTCTTTCTCCTCGTCAAAAATTGACATTGAGTGTTTTTCATGCACTGTTGTGTGTGTTTAGTTTTGACTAAAATGTAGTTGCCAAAAGGGAGAAACACTCGTTTGTAAGGGATTTTGCAAAGTATGTGTGTGCAGTGTTAAATATTCCCTGTGTCTGTGGCCCTAATGAGTACTCTCATTTAATAGATAACTTCTTTCTTCTTATTTAACTAAGTTCATTACAGTAAAGTAACTATCTGCAGACTAAAATGCCTTTTTAACAACATGAAGCCGTTACAATGCTATATGTTTATAACACATCCAAAGCCCAGAAGAGGCATATTGCCATGTATTTTAATTTTTTGGGGTTCCAAAGCAAATGCTTTCTTTTTCCCTTCTCCCCCGGCTTTGCCAGGAAGGGGAAGTGGTTGTTGCCAGTGGTGGGACATCAGAAGACGATGAAAGAGCGTGGCACAGTGATGGCAGTTCTAGGTAAGGGACCATATACCTCACAGAGAATTGTTTAGATAATTAAAAAAATTTAAATAATTTAATTTTCCGCTTTTTTATTATTATTATAACTCACTTTTGGGTTTATAATTTCTTTTTTCCTTGGTGTTATTGTCTGTAGTGACTACTCCAGTGATTATTCTGACTGGACGGCAGATGCAGGAATCAATTTGCAACCACCAAAGAAAATTCCTAAAATTAAAACAAAGAAAGCAGAAAGCAGTTCTGAGGATGAAGAAGGACCTGAAAAACAAAAGAAGCAGATTAAAAAGGAAAGGAAAAAAGGGATTGAGGAGAAGGATGGACCGTCAACATCACCAAAGAAGAGGAAACCCAAAGAGAGAAAACAAAAGGTTAGATGTTCTTGGTGTATTGTGGGATGCTAACTCCTGCTGTCTTAGAATTAAGGAAGATTCAGTTACATTTATGACTTAATCTTGTCCAATTTGAAAACACATCATGACTTTTACTCGTAATAAATTATAATTACTAATGCTTGTAAGTTAAATGGTAGATTGCTCTAATAATATGCTTTCTAAATATGATAAGTTTCACTTAAGGAACATAATGTCCTTAATGCCATCTTTTCTGAGACCAGGAACTCCCAATTGAGTACTGGTGTAACATGTGCCTCTAATTTGTCAGCTCTGCTCTCTTCCCACTTCACTGCAGTTTCTTTGAGGTCTGCACAACCCTGTCAAAGTTTTTTCCACCGTTTCCGTGATTTACGATATTTGCATTATCCTTGCCCCACTGTCCTTCCCTCGAGGGGAGTTTCACTGGAAGGGGGGTTGGTTTGGTCTCTCTGTGTTGTGTTTGCTCTCTGACATCCCCGTGTCGCGCAGAGGCTGGCGGTGGGAGTTCTGGCCGAGAACGGCCTGACGCTGGAGGAGTGGCTGCCCTCGGCCTGGATCACTGACACCGTTCCCCGCCGCTGCCCCTTCGTGCCACAGATGGGAGATGAGGTATCGTTGTTTTTCCCTCTCTTCTTGCTTCTTTCAGCTTCTTTTTTGCCTTTTTAATTTTCATCGAGTGCTGTGTTCAGTTTTGGGCCCCTCATTACAGGAAGGACATTGAGGTGCTGGAGTGTGTCCAGAGGAGAGCCACCAAGCTGGGGAGGGGCCTGGAGAACAAGTCCTATGAGGAGAGGCTGAGGGAACTGGGCATGTTTAGTTTGGAGAAGAGGAGGCTGAGGGGAGACCTCATTGCCCTCTACAGC